TGTACTTTAATGAATAAGGTCTAAAGAGTTCTGAGATTATGGTTATACTTGCACTTCACTTTATAAAGCCAACTCTGATGGCTGGCAGAGCATAGGAGCTCAGTAAACACTTCTGAGCCGAGCTGCACTGACATGATACTATGCCTAAGGCATCCTTTAAGTGAGGCCCTTTGGGTTCTTTTACAACAGAATTGTCTTAATTGGGAAGCAAGTCAACCCTGCCCTGTGCCACATTCCACTGTATGGCGTGTAGAATTATAGCATGGACCCAGGGGATTGTTATTATTACTATAAATAATGACCTTTTTTGAGAACCAGAGATCTGTTAGATACTGTCCAGAAACATGTGTCATTGTCCAGAATTAGACTCAGACTCTGTGGAGTGGTCTTATAATCTAATTTTGACAAATCTGAGTGAGCTCCCCAGTGATCTGTGGGGAAGAGGCAGAGAAGGAATAGTCCATGGTGACTGTTTCTCTCTCATGAGCAGAAGGAAGGCTTAGTGGCTTCTGTCTCCCTGGTGTTCTGGTCACCATAGTCATTGAGCAGGTACCCCTAGGCCAGCCTCCCAGGGAGACCCCTCTATGGGCATTTGGTGTTTTGAGTGACCTGAATGCTGTCATTCATCCATCGTTGTTGTTTTTAAAAAGTATGTAATCAACCTACCAGATGCAAGGCACAATATTACACACTAGGGGGGAAGGTAGGGTAGGAGGACTTCAGGGGGAGGATATGATGATGAACGGATATGGGGCTTGTCTTCAAGGAGCTCAGGCTGTGTTAGAAAGACAATACACAGTCCTGCAATATACAGTAGATCAAATAATTCTCATTATGTGTGTGAAACTCCAATGGCTTTACAGTTCAGCCCAAGGCACACCTGCTGCCTTGGGGGGACACAGAAATTGTTGTCAAATCCTCTACTAGAAGGGCTGCTATGTGTGGCTCCAGAGGACAGAACTAGAATCAACAGAAGGAAGAAAATTTTCAAGGCATGCCTATGGCAGCTTCTTGCTCACTTGCAGTATGCCTTCTTGAGCAGGAAGGACGAGGGAGCAGCTTCAGCAGTGTGCTGGGCAGCACCTGTCACCCGCAGCCTACCTAGTTTATGCTGCAGCCATTACTGAAGGACTGCCATGAGCAGGGTGATTACCAATTGTGCAGTGCCTCATATCCCCCACCCCATGTGGGGACTGTGTCAGATTAGGGTCTGCCCACAGGAGCAAGTCATGTACTGAACATGGTCCATTATATAGCTTGAGAACTACTCCAAACTCCTAGGCATGGCCTCCAAAGCCCTCCATAATCTGCCCCTGCCTACTCTGCAGACTCTCTCTCCCTGTTCCGCTCACTCTCCTCTGAAACCCACTGATCCTCACTTGGTGGATTTGCCTATGTAATTGCCTTTGACTGGAATTCCATCTCTTTCACACCTCCCCTCTCCCCCAACTCCTCACCTCTACAAACATCACCTACAGCTAACTCCTATTCAAGGGTGGCTTCTTTTGGGAAGTCTTTTCTACCCACCCCTCACCCCTACCCCTGGCTGGGTTCAGTATTCTTTTGTGCATCTGCATAGCATCTGCAGGTACTTCTCTTCTAGTATTCACCATATTCGGTTGTGTTCGCATCCCCCACCAGACGATGAATTCCTTCAATATAGAGTCTCATTGATCTTTAGGTCTCTAACTTCTAGCACATAAGCAGACACTCAGTACAGTCGTACCTAAGAGATACTGTGGGTTTGGTTCTAGATCACCCCAATAAAGCAAATATCACAATAAAGCGAGTCACGCAAATTTTTTTGTTTCCCAGTGCATATAAAATTTATGTTTACACTATACTGTGGCATATTAAGTGTGTAATAGCATTATGTCTAAAAATAAAGTATATACTTTAATTACAAAATACTTTATTTTTTGCTAAAAAACGCTAACCACCATCTGAACCTTCTGCAAGTCATAATCTTTTTGCTGGCAGAGGATCCTGCCTTGATGATGATGGCTGCTGACTGATCAGGGTGGCGGTTGCTAAAGGTTGGGGTAACTGTGGCAATTTCTTGAAGGATAAGACAATAAGACAACAATGAAGTTTGCTGCATCAAATGACTCTTCTTTTCATGAACAACTTCTCTGTAGCATGCAATGCTGTTGGATAACATTTTACCTACAGTAGAACTTCTTTCAAAATTGGAGTCATTCCTCTCAAACCCTACCACTGTTTTATCCACTAGGTTTATGTAATATTCTAAATCTTTTGTTGTCATTTCAACGATCTTCATGGCATCTTCATCAGAAGTAAATTCCATCTCAAGAAACCACTTTCTTTGCTCATTTGTAAGCAGCAACTCCTTATCCATCAAAGTTTTATCATCAGATTGCAGCAATTCAGTCACATCTTCATGTTCCACTTCTAATTCTAGTTCTCTTGCTATTTCTACCACATCTGCAGTTACTTCCTCCACTGAAGTCTTGAACTCCTCAAAGTCATCCAGGAGGGTTGGAACTAACTTCTTCCAAACTCCTATTAGTATTTCAACCTCTTCCCACAAATCATGAATGTTCTTAATGGCATCTGGAATAGTGAATCCTTTCCAGAAGGTTTTCAATTTACTTTGCCCAGATCCATCAAAAGAATCACTATTTATGGCAGCTAGAGCCATACAAAATGTATTTCTTAAATAATAAGACTTGAAAGTTGAAATGACTCCTTGATCCATGGGCCGCAGAACGGAGGTTGTGTTAGCAGGCATTAAAACAACATTAATCTGATTATGCATATCCACCGGAGCTCTTGGGTGACCAGGTGCATTATTAATGAGCAGTAATATTTTGAAAAGAATCTTTTTCTGAGTAGTAGGTCTCAACAGTGGGATTAAAATATTTAGTTAACCATTTTTTAAGCAGATGTGCTGTCATCCAGGCTTTGTTGTTGCATTCGTAGAGCACAGATAGAGTAGATTTAGCATAATTTTTAAGGACCCTTGGATTTTCAGAATGGTAAGTGAGCATTGGCTTCAACTTAAAGTCACCAGCTGCATTAGCCCCTTACAAGGGTCAGTCTGTCCTGTGAAGCTTTGAAGACAAGCATTGACTTCTCCTCTCTAGCTATGAAAGTCCTAGATGGCATCTTCTTCCAATATAAGGCTGTTTTGTCTACACTGAAAATCTGTTGTTTAGTGTTGCTGCCTTCATTAATTATCTTAGCTAGATCTCTAGATAACTTGCTGCAGCTTCTATATGAGCACTTGCTGCTTCACCCTGCACTTTTATGTTAAGGAGATGGCTTCTTTCCCTAAACCTCATGAACCAACCTCTGCCAGCTTCCAACTTCACTTCTGCCTCTTCCTCCCCTCTCTCAGCCTTCACAGAATTGAAGAGAGTTAGGGCCTTGCTCTGGATTAGGCTTTGGCTGAAGGGAATGTTGGGGCTGGTTTGATCTTCTATCCAGACCACTAAAACTTTCTCCATGTCAGCAATAAGGCTGGTTCACTTTCTTATCATTCGTGTGTTCACTGGAGTAGCACTATTAATCTCCTTCAAGAACTTTTCTTTTGCATTTACAACTTAGCTAACTGGTGCAAGAGGCCTAGCTTTCAGCCTGTCTCAGCTTTCAACATGCCTTCCTCACTAAGCTTAATCATTTCTAGCTTTTGATTTAAATTGAGAGACGCGTGACTCTTCCTTTCACTTGAACACATAAAGGCCATTTAGAGCTATTAATTGGCCTAATTTCAATACTGTTGTGTCTCAGGGAACAGGGAGACCTGAGGAGGGAGAGAGAGAGAGGGGAATGGCTCGTCAGTGGAGCAGTCAGAACACATACACGTTTATCAATTAAGTTTGCCATCTTAAATGGGTGCGGTTTGTGGTGCCCTGAAACAATTACAATAGTAACCTCAAAGATCACTGATCACAGATCACCACAACAAATATAGTAATCATGGAAAAGTCTGAAATATTGTGAGAATTATCAAAGTGGGTCAAGAGAAATGAAGTGAGCAAACACTGTTGGAAAAATGGCGTTGATACGCTTGCTCAAACCAGGGTTGTTACAAACCTTCAATTTGTAAAAAACATCGGAGAAGTGCAATAAAGCAAAGTGCAATAATGAGGTATGCCTATAAATGTCTGTGAAACTGAACTGAATTATACTTTTCCATAATCCCCTCAGCACTCCACCCAGTGCTGGTCACATCAAGGGAGTGTCATAAGCATTTGCTTGATTGTCTAAAAGCTGACCCCACAGGCCTTATCACTAAATGGCAGTGTTGTGTCTCAAATCACTCACTGTCCCATGGTGAACAGGAGATTTTGAAGACCCAAAGGGGGAGACATATGAATTGCTGGGCTCCATCCCTGGAGAGAAGATATACGGAAACTTTTTGGTGTGCGCCAGACTTGATCAGAAACTCTGGAGTGAAGCCCTGTTTCTTTGAACAAGTCTCTTATCTTCTCTACATGTTTCCCCTTCTGCAAACAGAGGCAGTAACCATCAACACACAAGGTAGTTATGAGTATTCATCCACTCGACAATAAAAATTGAGTGTCTATATGTCCTGAAGGGCTTCATTCTTGAACAAAACAAATATGGTCCCATGCTCTCGGAGTCAACAAGAGAATGTAAGAAAAGCACACTTTGCACTATGTGAGGTTTCATTTTTTATTGCTGGACTTACGAAGGAAGATTTGAGCCTCCCTAGGATCACTTTGCAATCTTACTTGTAGACCATTTTTTTCAATCATTAAGAAAGCATTTATTGGGGCTGGCCCCGTGGCCGAGTGGTTATGTTCGTGCGCTCCGCTGCAGGCGGCCCAGTGTGTCGTTAGTTCGAATCCTGGGCGCGGACATGGCACTGCTCATCAGACCACGCTGAGGCAGCGTCCCACATGCCACAACTAGAAGAACCCACAACGAAGAATACACAACTATGTACCGGGGGGCTTTGGGGAGAAAAAGGAAAAAATAAAATCTTTAAAAAAAAAAAAAAAAAAAGAAAGCATTTATTATATACCTAATGAGAGAATCTAATGCAGTAAGTATACAAAGTAGAAGAAGCCTTTTGACTTTGAGAAGTCTACTACCCATTTGAAGGAAAAAGCTGTTAAATCCTTGAGAGCAGGAATCATGCCTGATTTAATGAATTCACCAGATATCACTGAGTACCTAATATGTGCCAGGCCTGGAACCTCTTAGGTATTATTTTCAGTACCCAGAAGAGTTCTACGCACATAGTAGGGACTCAATGTGGGTTGAGTTGTGGGTTGGCTGATAGACAAGAAGCTTTTGGAGAACAAGTATAAGGCAGCATATAACCAAGCGCAGGAATGTATCCTACATGCTGGATGGTAATTTGGAGTCTTCAGCAGAGCGCAGGACACATTAAGGAGGGCTGATATCAATTTGAGAAGACTTCTCCTTTTCTACCTAGAGCTGTGAGGCCAGAGGAAGAGGTCCTGGCTATACGTGTATGTTCATGTGGGTTGTTCTAAATTGGTTGTCTTTGAAAACTGTGTAGGGAGGCAATAATGCCAACACAAGGAGAAGCACTGGGTCGGGAACATAGATACCTTAATTTTATTTCTAGCCATATAATACATAAAGCAAAGGAATAAAATGATTCATGCTGATTCTACACAAAAGCCTTCCTTTGGCCCTTTCCCTCTTATCCAAGCGCCATGTTGTTATTACCAAATAAGTTCCCTGTGACTCCTCCAAAACTTTTGCTTTGTCCAAGCGTATGACACACTGAAAGAGGATGCTGAAGGTTTTGGAGTGAAGAACCTTCAGAGTTGGGTTGTTCCTGTCCAGGTTTTAGGGGCCATCTCTTTTTGCCTTGGGGATTTCAGAACTTGTATCAGTTGCAAAGAGCTGTAGAATTCAATTACCCAGGGCTCTTTGCAGGGCTCTGATCTAATGAGGCCCTCGCCGACCCCCTAAACTCGAGTCAACCTCCTGCCATATGTTCCCATAGCACCCTGTACTTCCTTAATGCTAACACACACTGTGCTTTATTGCAATTATGTGTTTGATCTCTCCCCTTAATCAAGGGAAATAAAGGCAGTTAAGCTCAATAAGGCAGGGACTCCTTGTTTGTCTTTTTAAGTGCTGTATCTTCAGTGCCTCAGAAGATGCCTGGCACCTGGTAACCACTTAATAATCTTACTAAATGAATGAATGAAAGAGAAGAATGACATTGTAGGCAGAGGGAGCATGAGGAGCCAAGACAAAGAGGTAAGAAATTGTGGGCCATGTATACATGTAAGGGGAGTTGTATAGCTTAAGTATTGAGTATGTGTGGGGAACAGTGGAAAAAGATAAGATGAGGCTGTGCTGTGGAGGGTCTCAAGAGCAACTTAGAGAGTGGACTTTATGAGTGGTAGGAAGCCAGTGAAGATCACAGCTAAACAGTGAGGTCTGTTACCATCGTATTTGATAGAATTTATTCATGGCATGGGCAGCTTCCTTTGCCCCTCCTAACACACTTCCTGCTAAGAAATGGATAACAATCTACAAAGCATTTTATATGCTCTACACCCAGTAAACTCAATGAATAATCTAAAAGTTTCTTTGGCTGAGGTTGCCGGGGGCCTAAAGGGCCCCAGTGTAGCTGGGAAACTGACGTCAGCCAGGGAACTTTCATTTTTAACCTGAGCAGCTGGTAGATGGTAGCAACTATAAGTTTCTCTGACCTTGCCTGAGTCATCCAGGAAGTCACAATGAGAGGTCTTTCACCCTATCTGCTGTCCCTAGGGCCCATGGCGTCTGCTCCACCCCCGCCCCTCCTCAGCTAGTTTCTCTTGTTCCCTCCCGAGGAGGTATCCTTTCCAATACTGTCTTTCTGATAGTCCAGGATGTTCCTTTCCCGTACCTGGGCTTTACTTCTTCCAGGCCGGATTCCTTGGACCGCAAATGAGGGAGGCAGCAATTAGGCCTCTTGGCAGACCAGACCAAAGTGTCACATTCTTTGCCTGGAACTATTTTTATACATCCTTGGGGACTTGCAAGGAATGAGTGACAGAGTCAGAAGGTCAAGGGAAAAGTCTTCAGGGATTGAGGAGAGTTTGGAAAACTTGCCACAAATCCTGGAAGAATAGGACATTTGTTTCTTTCTTTCTCTTTATTTCTATTTCTGTTTCCCCTCTCACTTTCTCTCCTGTTCCTCCGTTTCTCTCTTCTCCTTTGTAACGCACCTCTCTCTACTTCCTACTTTCTCTTTCTCTCCCCTTCTATTCTTGCCCTTCCCCACCACTTTCCTTGCTTGTAATGGCTGAATTTTATTCTCAGTTCTTCTTTGTGGAGCACTGTGCTGTTTTTATAAATTTTCATAAATCCTCTCCTTACACTCTATGAGCGGAATAATAGTATCCCCATTCTGCAGATGAGGAAATTGAGACACAGATCCAGTAACTTCTCCAAACTCAGAAGTATAAACAGGGGTTTGAACTCCACTCAACTAAGCCCAAAACTATCTTGTCTTAACTGTTACATGATCTCTTTTTCTCCATTTCCAACTCCCCCTTGTCTTTTCCCTCTTTTTGCTCCCCATCTCTCCCTCCCTTCTCTCAGACACTCACCACATCCTGGTCCCTGCACGTGTATGGCTGACTGTGAAGGTGCTGAACGCTGTGCACGTGCCCAGAAGAGATGACAGACCATTCTAACTCTTATCTAATCAGTCATTTTCCTTTTGAGCAAACGCTCCAAAATTTTCCACATTTGGAGGCTAAGGGAGTGGGTCCTTTATTTCACCACCTGAGGAAAAGGGTGGATGTCTGATCACAAACCAGAGGAAAGGCCTCAAGACCTGGGTGGGTCTTTGATATGGAGGGGAATTGAGATAAGGCTCACTCAAGGACACCCTCATTCCCAGGGACTCTGCATACTCTCAGGGTTGGGAGCGGCTGGGCTGGGAAAAGACAAGGCCAGGAGGCTCATCTCTGTCAAGGTATCAAGTCAGGAGCCAGGGAAACCTGGACTGTGAAATGTGGCACCCCTGCCCTGTTCTTCCTCATACGCATAAAGAATGTTCAGACAGGAACCAGGGGCACATTGGCAGCAAAGATGCGAAGCTCAAGGTTGGAACTTGACAACCTCTAAGGTCCCATGAGAATCTGAGGTTTTATGATTCTAAGAAGGGAATATTTACGTTCAATTCCCTCCTATTTTTTTTTGGTCATTCTGTTGATTAGAATTGGTTAGAGGCTTAAGCCATAAGGACATTTATTGCTCATCAAGTAAGAATTCTGGAGGTAGGTGATTCAACTGTCAATTCAGAGGTCTCAGGGCACTGGCTGGCATTTCAGAGATTCTCTGGGCAGCTTCAGACATATTGGCTCACACAACCATGTCCTCAGGCAGGAAGGAGGGGGGTGGGAAGGACTTCAAGTGAGGCTCCCTCCATTTACTGGGGGATAGAAAAACCTTTTCTAGGGCACTCCCTCCACATTAGACTCTCCCTACGCCTCGCTGACCAGAACTAACCGCAGTGGAGACTGAGAAAGTGATATTTGGCCTTTTCACCCTGCTAAGGGGCTGTAGGCAAGGAACAGGGAATTGGTTTGCCACTGGGTAGGAAACACCAGTGCCTTCCATCCCCTCCTTCCTTCACTCAACCAAGATTTACTAAATACACATGTTGGGCCAGGCTCTGGGCTAGGTGATGATGATACAGAGGAAAAGATAGTCCCTATTTTCCAGGAGCCCCCACTGGAAGAACATAGACAGGCAGAGGATTACAAAACAAGAAGGAAAGTGTTGGAGAGGACTAAGTGTCCCCAGGGCCACCACATGAGCAGAAGAGGCTCAGCTTGAGGGAGAAGGGAGGGCTAGAAAAAGCAATGACTGGGTTGGTTTTGAAGGGTTAATAGGATTCGGCTAGGAGAGATGGGGCATACAGGAGGCAGGTGGGAGGAGGGCATTTGGGAATTTTCCAGGACTTGACCTGTCTGGACAAAGGGAACTAATGGGAACAGGCAGGAAATGAAGGCCTGATGAGAGAAGGTTTTGTATGTGATATAAAGTCTGGGGCATTTATTCTGGGTATGAGGATGAACAGGTCTGTGCGTGGGTACCTTCTGCATGCAGAAGGACAAGCCAAGCTGTACAGTTGAAAGGGCTGCACTGTACTGAGGTGGAGGAGATCGGCATTGCCAGCTGCTGCCAGCTGGGGGAACCTGAGTACTCATTTGCAATACCTTTAGCTGCAGTAACCAAACACGGACTTGTTGTCCTCCTCCCAATATAGCCGGTCCATATTAGACGGTTCTGACTGTTAGAGAATGCTTCCTGAGAGGCCAAATTGGCCACTCCCACCCTCACTCTTTCTTCCTCCACATAGTTCTGTCCTCTGTAGCCACAAAAAATTCTTTCTCCACCTGACAGCCATTCAAACACATGGAACATTTGTGGTATTTTCAGCATATCACATACTTCATTTCATTTAATCCTCAAAATCCTCTGGTGTAGCTATTCTCGTCCTCATTTTACAGACAAGGAAATGGACTCAGGGGGGTAAATGCCAGAGTCACATTTGCAGACTCGAGTCCTGTGTTCTTTCTACCACTTGTGTTTGTCCAGGTTTGGTCCTTGGACTGCCTGCATCAGAATCACCAGGGTGCTTGTTGCAAATCCAGATTCCGGAGGTCCACCCCTGACCTCCCGAAGTAGAATCCCTGGGAGTAAGAGTATAGAATCCACACTGGAACACACAGCTTAGTTGATTTCCAGATCCACCATACTGTAACCTGCTAACACGACCACTCTGATTCTTCTTTCTTTTTATCTTTGCTGAGGGGAAAAAAAGAGAGTTTTTAGGTGAATTTAACTTCTTTCTTTCTTTCTTTATTTTATTAATTGCAGTAACGTTGGATTATAACATTATATAGCTTTCAGATATACATCATAATATATTTCGAATTCTGTGTAGATTACATCATGTTCCCCATCCACGAATTTGACTTCTAAGTTGCCCTTTCTTAAAGAACACAGTGGTATGGATCAGTGGAATCCCAGAGCTTGACTGGACCTTCCAGACTTTTGCAGAAGCATCCCTCTCTTTTTCTCTCTTTCTCCCTCCCCCATTTGCAGAAGTCTTGGCGTTTGTCCTCTGCTGAGCCAAGATGGGTGACTGGAGCTACCTGGCAGAGTTCCTGGAGGAAGTACACAAGCACTCCACAGAGATTGGCAAGGTCTGGCTCACAGTCCTCTTCATATTCCGCATACTGGTGCTGGTCACGGCTGCTGAGTCATCCTGGGGGGATGAGCAGGCTGATTTCCTGTGCGATACGCTGCAGCCTGGCTGCGAGAACGTCTGCTACGACCAAGCCTTCCCCATCTCGCACATCCGCTATTGGGTGCTGCAGGTCATCTTCGTCTCCACACCGTCTTTGGTGTACCTGTTCCACACCATGCACAGGGTGCGCATGCAGGAGAAGCAGAGGCAACGGGAGGCAGAGAGGGCCAAACACGTGCAGGGCGCTGGCTCTTATGAGTACCCAGTGGCTGAGAAGACAGCGCTGTCCTGCTGGGAGGAAGGGAATGAAAAGATTGTCCTCCAGGGCACTCTGCTCAACACCTATGTCTGCAGCATCCTGATCCGCACGACCATGGAGGTGGCCTTCATTGTGGGCCAGTACCTCCTGTACGGGATCTTCCTGGACACTCTGCATGTCTGCCGCAGGAGTCCCTGCCCCCACCCCGTCAACTGTTATGTATCCCGGCCCACGGAGAAGAATGTCTTCATTGTCTTTATGCTGGCTGTGGCAGGACTGTCCCTCTTCCTCAGCCTGGTTGAACTCTACCACCTGGGCTGGAAGAGGATCAGACAGCGATTTGCCAGGTCACGGCAGGGCATGGCTGAGTGCCAGCTTCCTGGCCCCTCTGCTGGCATAGTCCAGAAATGCACACCACCGCTTGACTTCAATCAGTGCCTCGAGAATGGTCCTGGGGGGAAATTTTTCAATCCCTTCAGTAACAAGATGGCCTCCCAGCAGAACATAGACAACCTGGCCACAGAGCAAGTGCGAGATCAGGAGCAGATTCCTGGGGAAGGTTTCATTCATATCCGTTATGCCCAGAAGCCTGAGGTACCCAATGGAGTCTCCCCAGGTCACCGCCTCCCCCATTGTTACCAGAATGACAAGCCTCGTCTCAGCAAGGCCAGCAGCAAGGCCAGGTCAGATGACCTATCAGTGTGAGCCTCCAGCGTGAGGGAACCAGAACCAAGGGGGAACAAAGGAGGCTCAGAGAGGGAAGACGTGTCCGTTCTGACCGCGTCTCTCTCATTCTCATCACTGCTCTGCTCCTTTTGGGCTCTGGATCTCAATAGCATTGCTCATTTATTCCAGAAGGTATGACCAGGGCTCAGCAAGTGCAGTCAGAGACATGGCTACCCACCCAGGCTGCTGTCCCTTCCCAATCCTCTACCCAGTGTACTCAGTGAAGCCTTTCAGTTTACTCATTGGACAAGGAAGAGGAAGAGAAGGGAACCATGGCAAATCTGGCCTGGGACAGATAGCCAGAGGGACAAGATGACTCTCTCTACATGAGCCAAATACCAGATGGGTTCTCCAAGTCTCTATGGCTTCTGTGTGTGTGCGTGTGTGTGTGTGAGGGAGATTGTCACTGAGCTAACATCTGTGCCAATCTTCCTCTACTTTATATGGGATGCTGCCACAGTATGGCTTGAAGAGGTGTGCTAGGTCTGTGCCCAGGATTTGAACCTGTGAACCCCAGGCCGCTGGAGCAGAGCATGAGAACTTAACCACTATCCAACTGGGCGGGCCCTCCTTTTGGCTTTCCTGACCTGATCTCTCTTCCTGCTGCAAGGAAGAGCCCAAAGTTCCCAGCCAATAAAGAGCATGAATGAAGGAACTTGTGTTAGATGTGCCGTTCAATCTATTGTCTCCTTGGGCCATACTTTAGAGTTCTGGTGAGGTTTCTTTAGGCCGCCCTTGGCTACCCCCTCCCTCTACCCAGTCTTACTTAAAAAGAGGTCATTGGAACTTGATCAGCAGCCTCAGCTTTACAAGTGCCTTGATCTGTACCTCTGGCAAATGTCCCACCTTGGTGATGTTGCAGCCTTTCCTTCTGGCAGAGTGTACAAGCAGCCTAAGAAAGTGCAAGCTCCTCTAGGGAGTCACTGTGTACACAGACTCCACTGGAATTCCTGCCACCACCTGTCATCCTGTGGCTCTTTTACAGTTCAACCCAATGATAGAAACCATCCCTTCTCTTTCTCCCTTGGCTGTTCACTCAGTGTTCCTCCAAAGACCCTATCAACTGGAATGCCCCAGAAACTGTCATCGTCTCTCAGATCTTGACCAGATCACAGCCATGGAGACCAGTGGAATTTCCCTGGACCTATTAAAACAAAGAGGGCATTGTGCTTCTAAGATTCCCCTTGGGAAAAAATAATTCTGCTGTGAAGATGAAAATAAAAAAGGAGAGAAAATACTGGAAAAGGATATTTCCCTCCTATTTATTTCCCTTGCTAACTGTCAACTTAAGAGTGCCAAGAGGTGGTGCCATGACAGCTATAGAGGCTCCCCAGATCGCTCTCTCCCTGGAGGATTTAGTCGGGGCATGGAAGCAGTAGGGGAATCTCCAGCTCCCTTGGCAGGGCCCTTGTTTAAGAGCATAGAGATTCCTATGGTGCTCCTGATGAGACTGCCACATGGGGACTTCAAAAAAGCCCTGCCTTCCCCAGGGACTGGCCTGGTTTCTCTATTCAGTCCACTCATAATGGGTGGTTGCCATTTTGGATGAAGATAAAGGATACTCAAAACTGAATACCAAGACTTATAGGGAGATGATTACTTTCTAAAATGCATATGTGTGTGTGTACACGTGCTGATAGACCGGGTGAAGGAGAGGGGAGTCCTGAAATAAGGAAAGGAAATCTTAGGGAAAATTGTGTCTTCCTGCCCTCCTTTCTAGATGCCTGGCAGAGAGCCTGAGCCTCACTGTTTTCAGTATCATCAGCCTAAACAGATAGGCATGAAAAGTAGGAACAGAGGAGGGTGAAGGCTCAGAAGGAGGCTCAGCCTCTGCCTTACCTGCCCATCTCTAGGCCCCTCTGTTGATACCTAGATGTTATTGGTAGGTGGAAAGAAGGGTGAAGATAGAGAGGTGGAGGGAACTGATTGGGATGCCAGTTAGAAAAGAATGACTGGTCATCCCAGGTCCCTGGAGGGGGCACCTTTCTATATTGTCTGGCATTGGCATTGACTTTCTCTCTCTCTCTCTCTCTCGAAAAAAAAAAAAAAAAAAAAAAGCCTCTCTCTCCTTCCATCTCTGAAATGTGTTTGTTTCATGAAACGAGTGTTCCTGGATTATAAATTCTGTGAGACCAGTCCTTGATGATGTGGCTTCCAGGAAAGAAAAAGCTGTAAATGTGTAGTTTGTCTTAATAAAATTTGGCCCTACATCAATCTCTCTTTCTTTTTTTTCTTCTTTTCCTCAAAGCCCGCCAGTACATAGTTGTATATTCTAGTTGTGAGTGCCTCTAGTTGTGGCATGTGGGACGCCACCTCAGCATCTCTTGACGAGCAGTGCCATGTCAATGCCCAGGATCTGAACCAGCGAAACCCTGGGCTGCCAAAGCAGAGCCTGGGAACTTAACCACTTGGCCAACAGGCCAGCCCTGATTTCTCTTTTGTGTCCCTCTCATGCTGTGACTATAAGAGAAGGATAGCAGACTTGATGGGGGATGGGAGCACTCAGACACCTCCCCCCGACATATCAGTCAGTCGGTAATGCAAAGAGTTTTAGAGTCAGATATGCAAGGATTAAAATCCCAGCCGCAGATTGACAGCTGGACTCCAGGAGGCTACTTAATGTCTAAGCCTTGGTTTCCTCATCTGTGAGTTGGATGTAGTACTTTCTACCTCATAGGGTTATTAAATGAGAGATTGTTTATAAAGTGTTCAGCAGAGTGCCTGAGAAATAATGTCTGCCATTAAATGGTAATTGTTGTTATTATTATCTTTATTATTTTTGTTATGATGTTGAATGCATAGTGTTTGAAAACCTTGGCTGTTGAGAGATGATTCCAACACATGATCTACCTAAGGTGATCAAATTAACTCACATAGAGGAAACAATTAGAATAAAATTATATGGGAATGCATTTACTATCAAGTCTAAGAACTGTAGGGCTCCAGGACGTAGTACATACGAAAAACATATATAGAAGAGGAGAGGCCTGACCTGGGCCTTAAAGAGTGGCTAAAGTTTTAGAGAAAACCTCAAGGATAGCTCTGTGAAATAGGTCTTGGTATCCCCATTTTAAAGACATGGAAACTGAGGTACCGGAAGGCTCCCTGACAATGGACACCTTCTCATTGGCCTCTCTGATTGGGATCACATCTCTTTGGAAGAGGAGAAGTGACTTTTGCTCCAAACAAAGGTTCAAGGGATCACCCAGCCCTTTACTAACAAATGGGTTCCATTTCCTAGAGAACGAAATAAAGGCTGGGAAATACAAGCAGAAGTATTATCTTGACTATCAATCAGTCTTATTTATCAGGGCAGGAAAGCTCTTTAAAGAGGGCTTGCACAGTGATCGTAGAGCACATCTTATGACCCTGGTGCTGAGATTCCAGGGCATCCCTGGCATCTGTCCAAGGGCAAGGTGCTCAGCCCAGAGGAGCCTGAGGAGTCCAACTGGAAAGACCATCTGGGATCCATTTTTTCTCCTAGGAAAAAAGCAATGCATCTCATGGTTTTATAAACATAGCTATTAACATTTAACAGTTTATATTACACCCAGACTGCAAAAGCCGAGGGACTTATTTTATAGTGAGTAAGATTTCAACCTCATGTATCTATTCTCATTTTCTCTTCCTTTTTCCTCTAGAGGTTCACCACTGAAGAGGTAAGCTGGGTAGTAATATAATGAACACACTCTGGGTTGTAGGCCCCTGTAGGCCCCTTTCCTTAATTTCCTTCCTTGAGCACCAGATAAGAGCAGAATTTCTACCACTAGTGTTTCATGCCTATCGTGAATGTGTTCAAGTGGTTAAATGCTAATAACACTCCTCTGAAGAATCAAAGTATGAATGTTTCAGATTTCTCCCCAATAGCAAATATTGATAGCAGAGAGCAAAACAAAAGAATGAAGGCACTAGGTGCCTTGCAGGTGTCTTGAAGGATTGCTTTCATGGATGTGGAGATGAAGTAAACAGCGAGACTGGAGGGGGCTGCCAAAGATAAGCTGCTCACTTCTCAGTCCTGAGAAGATCCTGGGAGCCCCGCAGTCTGTTCGTGTACTGACCCTGGAGAATTATAAGAATTTACAAATGATAGATACATGAATGGAGTAGGGTCAGCGGTTTTGACCCTTGTTGGTCACTTGATTGTCATCAGAGATGGATATGGTCTATAGTTTTTTACTGTCGTTTCAATTGGAAAAGAGAAAAACTTTCATTCAACAAATAATTATTGAGTACCTACTCTGAGCTAGGCACTATGTTAGGCCTTAGGAATACAATTTTATAAAACAGATATGGTTCCCACCTTTTGGAGCTTATAGTCTAGTGGGGAAGACACCCTAACGTAAGTAAACAAGCAAAATAATTACAAATTGTGATAAGTATCAAGAAGGAAACAGATGGGAGGTTTTCAAAGGTCGGGGTGGAACCTTCATCAGATAGGGTGGGTGGAAAGTCCTTTCTGAGGAGGTGACATTGAGGACAAGGTCTGAGAAGAAGCCAGCCACTGACAAGCAGGAGAAGAATGCAGCTAGGAGAACTCAGATTCTTTCTGGAGGAAACCCCGGAGTACAGCTGTCCCTGCCTCAGTCTGTCCAAATTCCAGAAAGGCACAGAATTCAAGCAGCAGCCAGGTAGCACCTAAAACAACATTGTTTGGCACCAACTGTTACAAACACACATACTTCTTTCTTCAAAAGCCTCAAGGGATGGAGAAGTTGAAGGAAGCATATAAAAGGTCTTAGTTAAAATGACTGGCTATCCTATGCTAACACTCTAAAAAGCCCTTTTTGATGTTGCAACTATTATTCCCACCAGTATCAATTCTTGTAATAGGCCTGGGGCCTTCTAAACTAGGCCTGTTCCCTGGAGTCCAGGCTGGTAGGCAGAAGACTAGGGCCGGGAAAGAGCCAGCAGGGCGTGGTCCAGAGGAGCCTTGGCACCAGAGGAGTGAAAACAGGGAGACATCAAAAGCACAGAGGGAGGAGAGTGAGAAAGGAAGGGGAGCACGTCAGCAGGGAAGCCAGGCCACAGAAGCTGTGCAAGACACCAACCAGGCAGACACCGTCAGGGACACCGTTCCCCTGGCAGAAGGGTCACAGCCCCTGATCTGGATTTGGAGCTAGACCTCCAGACTCAGAGGAAGGAGTTGAGACGGGCAAAGCAGAGCTTCATCCTAGTGGCTAGGTTACTAGGCAGGGCACCAGGACAGAGTTTTAGACAGAGTACAAGGTGGGTGACCATTTTCAGAATTACAGTGAGGTGCTGATGAATAAATTTATTGCCAGTAAAATATATGATCTGATAGATGCCTTCAAAGCCTTGAAACAAAGGCATGACCAACAGTGAGACTTCCAGGCACCTCCTCGAGCGTGGTGGTGGGTGGGGAGATGATTTTTGGCATGGAACCAATACTGCTCTGAACTCACCCCAGGTTGGCACCTACCTCCTTCCCATATACATAAGGCCAACACAGCCCTGGGGGGTCATGGCTTGGAAACAAGGCTTAAGTCCCCCCGTCCCTTCAGCCTGGCTGACTTTGCCATTAGCCTGATTCAAAGCCCTTATGGGAGGGGGCACATTTACAGCTAACAAGAGATTCCTCAGAGAGACACTGAGAGCCAGGCAGGAACCCACTCAGGAGAGCTCGTTGTCCTGGTCCCCGCAGCCTGGCCAATGCTAAACCCCCTCAGCAGCAGCTGCTGTTCAAACAACAGCAGGCATTCGGGGCAGGGTGGAAAGTTGCTTTACACCCTCCTGGGACTTTTCTTTTTTTTTTTTTGAGGAAGATTAGCCCTGAGCTAACTACTGCCAATCCTCCTCTTTTTGCTGAGGAAGACTGGCCCTGAGCTAACATCCGTGCTCATCTTCCTCCACTTTGTATGTGGGACGCCTACCACAGCATGGCTTGCCAAGCGGTGCCATGTCCACACCCGGGATCCAAACTGGCGAACCCCGGGCCGCCGAAGCGGAACGTGCAAACTGAACCACTGCGCCACCAGGCCGGCCCCTGGGGCTTTTCTTTAAATGGATTGAAATATAACTTGGAGGGGTTTAAGCTTACAAATATTTGGGGTAAAACTGCATATTTGAAAACCAATGTAAAAACCCATATAGGGTGTCATTGGCTTGGGAAAAGTCAATTTAAAATCCTCCCCCCCATTTTTTGGTAATAATTATGAAACAAGTGTGCAATTGTTAAGTGCTGTTTTCTAGGGCCTGTGCTAAGAGATTTTACGAATTACATCTCATCCTTACAATAATCCTACGAGGTCATTTGACCCCACTTTACAGATAAAGAAACAAAAAGATTCAGTAACACGCACAGCTAGTAGGTGGTAGAACTGAGATTCAAACACCCACCTCTCTGTCTACAGTATATTCTTCTCTTAAGTGCTTATCATATATTCTTAAGTAGAAAGGCAAGATATGAAATTGTATGTGCTCCAAGATTGCAATGTGTAAAACAGGCATTTACAAGAACAAGGACCTGAAAGGAGCAAACAAAAATGAAAGCAGTTGAGCTAGTATGGTGGATCTGTAGCAGTGCTTAATTTATCATGTTATTTTTGTAATTGAAAAATTTAAAATATATTTATATTCAGCCTTTGAGCTAAACTTAGTGTTCCCTTGGGGTGGCTGCCAGGAGCTGCCTCTATTCGTTTCCACGGTACTCATGCCTGGGAAAATTTTTCTTTGTTTGAGCTCTGACTACCACCCTTAAATGGAATAAGATTAGCAGGAGGCACCCACCCCAGGGCCCAGGCTGCCGACTGTGTGACAGCAGATGGTCTGCCAGCCTTGCCTCTGGAAATGGCTGAGCATTAGAGTGAGGGTGGGAGGCATGACTTGTACCCATGAGCTCTAGCACACCCTTAGTGTGGTGAGTGTGGAGAGTGCCTGCTCCATGGCAGGTCAGGGCCATGGGCAGGGCACTGTTTGGGCAGTTTGGGAGGATGTCAACAAGAGAGAAGCCTGCCCTCAGATGCTCAGACCTAGTAGGAGAGGAGAATGATGCTGTGTTACAAGGGAGAAACTCAGTGTGGTAAGCAAGAGAAAAATGGCACCGAAGAGTCTCGGAGCAAAGAGGGGATCCAGGGAGAAGGAAAGTTCAGGAAAAGCTTCATAGAGCAGGTGCCACTTGAAATTGGCTGTGAAAGATGAATAAAATTTTATACAGAGAGGAGAAGACTTTCTAGTGGGAGGAAAGCATGGATTAA